TTCCACGCTGTCTAACTTGATCTCTCAGCTATGACATACAGCTGTTATAGTTAGTTCACTGAGTGTTGCAAAGCGTCGGCTGTAGCCTGTACTTTTCCCTTAGAATGCGGGCTTTTCGGATTTAGTCTGCTAGGTGAATTAGCTCCAGGATTCGAACAAAGTACCAATCTGGCCCTTACGCATCGCCGTCTACGTCGTATACCTACCGTTTTATGATCGTTTGCTGCGAATACCGCAGTATGGCTTTACATGGATGTCTGGAAATAGTTGGGACAACCCTCCGAATCAACGATCTGGCAGTCTCACTGGCAGTAGTTATCTCGCATCGGTTAGTCATTACATCCATTTTTTTCCGTTCCAGGTGAAGTAATGGTTAATGCTGCTACAACAGAAGTGGATCTTATTCCACTTCTTGATATTGACTGGCAATACAAGTGATTTAATGCATAGTCTCACGTTCCCTTGACCCAGAGATTAGCAGAAGTCCCTGCAATTGCCTTCCGGTGAAAAGCATGGCTTTCATACACAATATCGTTTGCCGGACACCTTAGTCCGCGTGTTGACTCTTTCTCTGACACGAAATGCACTGTTATATGCCATTTTCGCACGGTGCACGAAGTCAATTTGGTCTTTTTTATCCTTGTTAGACCAGAGCAACCAGACACGCCGCCTTGTTCTTTAGGAGAAGCTCTGTTACCGAGTGCCAATGGAAGTTTCAGCTCCCGTTCTGGTTCAACACATAAATTCTCTTGTTTGGGGAACAGGAACGCCTCGTGATGACATTTTTGCGAGGTGGTGTCAAGGTAAACCAGAGATTTGGCAATAATTGCCATCAGGTTTTCGGTTCAGCAGCCTAGAACCGACAGCTCTGTGCCAAGAAACTAGCGGACCATGTGCAGTTATTGCAGCTGTTCAGGCGGCCATTCTGCGGGAAGTCTTATGCCGAAGACGGGTGGGTTTACCTATTCCGACAGGTTAATTGCATTTTCCTTTCTCATGAGCTAGTGTGTCAGACTTTGATAGTGGAGAGCTGTTGGTTCTCGCCCTGATTGAAATATTTGAAACCGTTTCCCACGGTGAACGCGGCAGTACCTTCTTCTTTTTTCGATGGGATGGATCATTTGGTAGTCTTCTATCATTCTAATCACTGCCTCTAGATGAAGGTGCATATTCTGGTGGCAAAACTCCCTTTCAGGAATTTATCGATGGATTGAAGTAACTTCCGAATTTATTCCTGCTTCATATCCCCCTGTTCTTGTGATTTACCATGAGAATTTTCCGCCGGCGATGTTGCTTTGGTTTCACAACTACTTCGACGTTTGCGTTTGTAACAGACATTAACATGTCTGAACCGAAGCACACTGAATGGCAATTTCTCCATTGGCAGTCTGGGCCACATCCACTTCCGCGTGAACAGTGCAAACGTTCCGTCGACTATATTAAGCAACCAGCTGTCACTCGCTTGTAAACGAATCTTACCCGCCCGCGCGCCTACGATGCAGTGCTGGAGCTACAAAACATCGAAGCACCACGGAGTCTCCAGTCGACCTGACTCCCTTCCCTCTCCCACGCACCAGTCGACTGTTTGAACCTGTCAGCCATCTGGTACCGCGATTGATTGCAGTTGCTGACAGCTGCAATAGCTCGTTTGTGTGCCATACGCGACCCGGTTAGGCATCAGGTTGCACCAGAGTTTTCGCCCCTCGCTTGCGTGAGAAGTGCCTGTTCTGTGTCTAGGGTGAGCGCTGCGGGGCGGGTTTGTGTATCGCATATAAGCCTGTGGGAAGGTGTGTATATGGAGGGGGTTTGGTCTGCGGTATTTTGCTACAGATTTTCATTGAGGTGCAGGTGACCAAGTAGGCCTATGCGGTGACTGAATGTGTGTGGGCAGTTCGGACAGTTAAGTGGGATGTGACAGTATGTTGGTGCCCCTGGCACCGGTTCACCAGTCTCGGTGCAACGGATTCCCAGGTGGTCGACCATGCCGATGCGTGGTGTGCACGTACGATGCCAATATGAACATGATATACCGGTGGTGGTGGTAGTAACAGCGCCGTTTGAGGGGTAGTTGGTAGTGCTGGTGATGGAGGAGTTGCCAAGTGTGCGACCTATGTTTGACGTGTCGCATTGTCGTGAATTTCACTGTTGTGGGCGCGCATGTGGCCGAGTAGGCCCACGAGGTGACTGAATGCGCGTGGGCAGTACGGACATTTTAGGCTGGTGTATGTTGGTTCACCGGTCTCGGTACGTCAGATTCTCAAGTGACCGACCATGCCACTGCGTGATGTGAAGGTGTGATCCGAATAGGGCAGGCTGGGATGGAGTCCACACTGCTGGTATAGGGGGAGGTTGTAGTGGCCGTGATGGAGGTCTGGCGTGTGGCATGGCGTCGAGAGCGTTCTTACTGGTGGCGGAAAGAGTGCAAGTAAACTACCATGGTCTAATTTGCGCGTTGCGACCTGAACATCAAGTGCCGTTTGGCCACCAGAAAGTGGGCTATACTTTGGAGAACGATCTCGGCCTAGATGAAGGTAAACCAAGTTTCGCGCTAAAACAGGATTATGCCAGCCAGCGTCGCAGATACACATGTGAGACCGCTTCGTATCTCTTGTGGGCGGACCATACCGACGGACGCTGCTGTTTTACTGAAGATGACATATATCTGCTTGTTTTCCACTCGTTCACATCTCCTGCAGTCAAATATCTTGTGTACGCACAGTCCCTGCCCTCAATCCCTCATAGTTTTTCGTCGGATGCATTGTTCGTCCTCACTAACCTTTTCCTCGACAGACTTGTGTCACTGGACTCAACAGACGAGCTTCAGGCAGTCATCATGTCATTGATTCCACAAATTATGTCCAGTTACGGCCTTCTCTGCTTCCTTTACTCAATTCTTCTGACTCACGGACTCGAAGACGTGAAAAAGGGGATGGCGGGTGAGGCCGAGACGCTCATCGATTCGACTTTTGGA